TGATAGGTATTGCCCAGAGGGGTTGCAGTTTAAGATAAGGTGGCCGGAGCCCTGGACAGTTTAGCTCAGTGGTTGGAGCATCAGCCTGCGGACCAGAGAGTCTGGGGTTCGGTTCCCACTAGGGGCACATACCAAAAAAAAAAAGATAAGGTGGCTGGGGAAGAAGTCACTGAGATGGTCAATTTGAGCAAGTATTTGAAGGAGTTGGAAGAATAAGCCATAAGGTGTTTGGGGGAAAAGTGTGCATAGCAAGTAGAAGGGAAAAGCAAGTACAAGGCCCTGAAAAGGTAGCCAGAGGCCAGGGCAGAGTGAGTGAGGGAGAGAGCAGTACCGCTGAGGTCAGATCTCACAGTTGGAGAATAATATAGTATAATCCCCTCTACTTCCACCACCTGGATCCATAATTGTTAACATTTGCTTGGTCAATATATAGGGATATATCTGAGTGTGTTTATTTTCCTTCGGAGCAATTTGAAAGAGTATGGTGGGCATCGTGAAGTTCTGTCCCTACACAACCACTAGTCTTTTGTAGATCTAAGTGAACTAACAACATTCCTTGGCTTCAAATTTCTCCATTCATTCCCCCAAATTTGTTCCAATTGGGATCTGACACAGATTCACATGTAGCATGTAGTTGTCCCTTTATTCTCTTATTCCAGAAGCTCTCCACTTCACACCCACCTTGGCCTCAAACCAATGGCTTTTTGAAGAGTCCAGGCCAGCTGTCTTGTAGAGTAGTCCACATTTTGGATTGGTCTGACGGTTTCCTTGAAGTGTTATTTAGCTGGTTGCCTTATCCATATATTTCCTGTACATTAGAAGTCAGAGCCAAAGGCTTGATAAGAGTCAGGTTAGTGAAAAAGCAATCCACAAGATGAAAGAAAATATTTTCAAATCATATATGTGATAAAGAACTTGTATCCAGAATATAGAAATAACTATTAAAACTCAACAACAAAAAGGCAACCCAATTAAAAAATATACAAAGGACTTGAATAGATTTTTCTCCAGAAAAGACACACACACACACACACACACACACACACACACACAAACGCTCAATTTCATTCCTCATTAGGAAAATGCAAATCAAAATCACAGTGAAGTACCACTTTGCACCCAGTAGGATGGTAATAATAATACTAATGGAAACAAAATAAGAGTTGGAAAGGAGATGGAGAAATCGGAACCCTTGTACACTGCTGCTGGCAATGCAAATAGTGCAGCCACGGTGAAAAGTTTGTGGATTCTGATAAATTGAACATCATTACCATAAAACCCAGCAACTCCACTCCTAGGTATATATATCCAAATGAAGACATATATCTACATAAAATCATATATAAGAATGTTCTTAGTCCGGCCGGTGTATCTCAGTGGTTGACCATCAACTCATGCACCAAGAGGTCGCCAGTTTGATTCCCGGTCAGAACACATGCCCACATTGTGGGCCTGATCCCTGGGGGGTGGGGGGCATGCAGGAGGTGGCCAATCGATGTTCTCTCTCATTGATTTCTCTCTCTCTCTCCCCCTCTCTCTAAAATCAATAAAGAAAAAACAATTAAAAAAAAAAAAAAGAAAGAATGTTCTTAGCAGCATGAGTCACAAAATCAAAAGGTGGAAACAACCTAAATGTCCATCAATGAATGAAAGGATAAACAAAATTTGGTATATCCTACAATGAAATATTATTTAGCCATAAAAAGGAAGGACTGATATATGCTACAACATGGATCAATCTTTAAAACATTATGCTAAGTGAAAGAAGGCAGACACAAAAGTCTGCATATTGTATGAGTCCATGTATATGCAATACCCAGAATAGCTGAAATCATAGAGATAGAAAGCAGACAGCAGATTGGTTGCCAGAGGCTGGAGGGCATGGAGTTTTTGTTTGGGTGATAAAAACGTCTGGAACTAGATATAGGTGATGGTTGCAAACATTGTGAATGTACTAAATGACTCTGAGTTGTTCACTTTAAAATAGTTAAAATAGTAAATTTTATGTTTTGTGTATTTTATCACAAGAAAAAAAGAACTTATTGACTAGCGTTATAGGTGATGCTAAGGACTTGCATGACACCAGGAGACATGTGAGGTCAGATTGCTCACTGGTGATGCCAAGTTTAATCACTTGGTTAAGGAGGGAACCACCAAATAGTTTTATAACAAAGGCATCTTTCCCCTCTTTTCTATTACCTAGTAATCTGGGAGTAATCATTCTGGCACTATGGAACTACTCTATTCCCAAAACAAACTTCTTTTATGGTTTTAGCAATCATTGGTGATCTCGCTTTCATCCATTATTTTATTGGGGATCATAGGATTGGAGCTTTCTAATTTTATGACTCCTTCTATATCAATTCGCTGGCATTATTGTGTTAAGAGGGTTTTCTTATCAGTTGGGGATGAAGGACAGTTGCTCTAAATGGTAGGATTTATGCTTAATTTGTTTTCTTTAATTAGCAGTTTTCATAGAAAGCTATTGATGGTGGCAAGTTCTTACTCCACTAGTGGACTTTAATAGTGGGCAGAACTATGTAATATATATTTTAAAACATTAGTTTACAGTGATATTTCTAGTTCAAGTTTGATATGTTTAAATCATAACAATCTTCATGGGCTTTATATTTGAATCTCTTAGATAGCATAGTTTCAAAATTAGGAAATTAAAGTTGGCTTGATTGGGATATTGGTAATATATGAGGGAATTGAGCAAATAAGTAAATATTTTGAGTACAATGGAAGTGAGGTTTCTCTCTCTTGCAGAAGGGAGGCATGAACATGGAAAGGGAGATGACAAGGATAAACCATGTGATATTGGACTGTAATTAGAGATATTGGTGTGAAGTCATGGTTTCTAATATACTTAGACATATATAGAATACATATATGTGTGTGTATTTGTTTATGTGCATGTGTGTATATAAATATACCTTTTAGTTCTGTCCACTGAGACAACTATCAGGTTAACACCCCAGTAGCAATGAACACACCAAGCTCCCAGCTCTTGCTTTGCAAACACCATTCTCCATTAGGAGGAAACAGAACTCTGTAGAGAGATGCTGATTTTATGCTGATGCAGGGAAAGTATAAGATGAGCCTGGACTTTCTTACAGAAGATTTTAAGAATGTACTCAAAGAATGATGGGGACATGTCAAAGGTCACACAGTAGCTAATTTGAAGGGATTCCCACTGTCCAAATCTGGGACAGTTTTAGGATCAAAATAAATAGTGATTGGCAATAGATTATAAATCCACTGAATAAAATGGGAACTAATGAGTTAATATGATATACATTTTTTTTCTTTTTTATCCTCACCCGAGGACATTTTTTCATTTTTTATTCAGATAGAGTGGGAGGGAGAGGGGAGGAGGAGAGAGAGAGAGAGAAACGTCGATGTGAAAGAGACACATCGAATGGCTGGCACCCGCACAACCCAACCAGGGCCAGGGACAAACTACAACCGAGGTACATGCCCTTAGCAGGAACCAAACCTGGGTCTCTCTGGACCGTAGGCCAATGCTCTAAGGGCTGAGCCAAACTGGCCAGGGCTAATATACTTTTTTTTTTTAATCATCCTCACCCGAGGACATTTTTCCATTCTTTGTTCAGGTAGAGTGGAAAGGAGAGAGAGAAACAGAGAGAGAGAGAAACATCGATGTGAAAGGGACACATCCAACCAGGGCCGGGGACAAACTGCAACCGAGGTACGTGCCCTTAGTGGGAACCGAACCCGGGTCACTCCGGACCGCAGGTCGATGCTCTACCCCTGAGCGAAACCGGCCAGGGCCTAATATACATTTTTAAATGGAGAAGGAAAAGCTTTTCCTTTCAATAGAATGTCTACTAATAAGTATAGAAGAAACAATGGAGAGTTGCACTGGGTAACCATGATAATAACAATTAATGTAGGCAAGAACCATCCATGGATGCTAAAACCAGTGGGTGAAATTATATAAAGAATAGGATGATATCCGAAGAAACCCAAAACACTAATTCAAAAATAATATATGCACTCCTATGTTTATTGCAGTGTTATTTACAATAGCCAATATTTGGAAGCAGCCCAAGCACCCATGAGTAGATGAGTGGATAAAAATGCTGTGGTACATTTACACAATGGAATACTACTCGGCTGTAAATATATATATTAATCCTCACCCCAGGATATTTTTCTTTTTATCTTCAGATAGAGCCGGAGGGAGAGGGGGAGGAAGAGAAAGAGAGAGAAGAAACATCGACTGGTTGCCACCCACAGGACCCCAACCCGGGCTGGGGACAAACCGCAACCAAGGTACGTGCCCTTAGCCGGAACTGAATTCGCGACTCATTGGTCCGCGGGCCTACGCTCTAATCTCTGAGCCAAACCCACTAGAGTTCATTTTTAAAATGTGACAATCTGAGGAAAAAGAAGTCAGTGTCCCTGACTCAATAGTCAAGTATTGCATGTTTTAAAAATTCTTGCGCACACCGGTTGAAAATAGCTGGTCTGGAAAAATGCTTGGGAGTCTTCTATGCCAATAAATGTTTGTTTAATGGAAGAAGCAATGAGTCCGCGAATGAAGAGGCGGGAGAACGAATGAATGAATACCTTCATTACTCCTTTTTTCCTGGTGCATAAACCAGGAAATAGTAAAATTTCCAGAGGAAGAAGAAAGAGTAACATGCCCCCCGCCCGCTGGGGAGAGCCAGAGAGGCCAGATTGGCCCTAGCACTGGCCCCAGAAGACCCAGGGCGCCCTTTCTGTCACCTGTCCGGATCTCAAGTGTCCCTCGTGCCTAAGGTGCTGACCTGTGCCCTCCGAGAGACCCTGGGTTCCGTGCAAAGGATTCCTGCAGCCCTGCAGGCAACCCTGAGGTCCACCCCCACCGCTCCCGCTCTCCTCCCCCAGGGCCCCAGTGACCACCGAGGCGCGGAGTTTGTTCATTCCTTTATTGGCGCGTCACCCAGGAGGAGGGGGTTGGGGAGGCCCCATAGAGCAGAGGAAGGGTCGTAGCCTGTTCTCCGGGGTCCCTCGGCTGCTCTCAGCGGTACTTCTCGGTCAGGACGCTGGACACGACGGACAGGAACTTGTCCCAGGCAGCATGGGCGTCAGCCGTGAAGTCCACGGGGAAGTGCGAGGCCATCGTGACCAGCAGACAGTGGGACAGGAGCTAGGGGGCGGGAGGGCTGCTCAGCGCGCCGCGCGGGGCTGGAGTGGGGCTGGGGTGCTCTTCGGGTGGGGGAACCGAGCCTCTCTCGCGGAGACCTTTCCCTCCTCGCACTCCGGCCCGCCTCTGTCCTGACCCGGCCTGGACCCCGGTCCCCGTGCCCACCTTGAAGTTGACCGGGTCCACGCGCAGGATGTAGGCGTGCAGCTCGCTCAGCTTGGACAGGGCCCCGGAGATGTTGTCAATGTTCTTGACCGCGTCTCCCACGGCGGCCACCACCTTGGAGCCGTGCGAGCGCAGATGCGCAGAGCCGGGGTGCAGGTCGAAGTGTGGGAAGTAGGTCTTGGTCTGGGGGTAGCTGGCGAAGAGCCTGTGGGGTGGGAGGAGAGCCGGACCTTGGGGAGGCCAGTAGGGCCCTTTCCTTGGGGGAAAAACTTAAGCGGCGCCAGAAAATCCAGCAGTCAGAATAAATCATATTTTAACGCAACATTTTAAAACAACAGAGTCACGTTGAACAAAATACTAAAATTTTAAAGAAAGGCAGAGTCAGATCGGATCCTGTTGCCTCAGGCTCCAGTACAGCGTGGGCTCTCAGTTTCACTGCCCCATCTTTCAGTCATTCATTAGTTAATTCAACGGAGTTTGTGGAGACCTGTGCTAGGGCCCAGGTGTAAGGGACACAGTCCTCATCTCCCCTTCCCATCCACCTGCTCACTGACACCATCAACGCCGCCCCACCTCCATTCAAACTCACTGATCCCTCCTTTCTTTTCCCTCCTCACTGTTCCCTCCTCACTGTCCTCTGTCCTCGATAACCCCACATTGTCACCTACCTGGCCCATCCCAACCTGTCTGGCACTCACCTCTCCAGGGTCTCAGTGCCAATGGCATCTGCTTGTGGAGAGATCTTGCCCCACATGGACATGATGATGGTCCTCTCGGCCTTGGTCAGAGACATGGCGGTGTCTGAGCTGGAGCTGGGTGTGTTCAGGACTGGCCTCTGTGGTGCTCAGCCTCCAGGGTCCACCTATATACACAGAGTTAGGGTGGGGGCCAGGCTGTGGGGTTGGGGTCTCTTATCAGATCCGGTGACAATGGGCGGTCAGAGCCTGGTGGGACAGGTGGGGTGAGGGGTTATCACCCCTGCCACTCTTGCTGGATCTTAGAGGGGGCGTTGGCCACAGTCTGACCAGAGTCCAGCAGAGATAGGGGCCCAGCCAGCCCCAGAGGTCATGCCTGCATTTGCAGCCCAGCTCTGCACTGTCCTTGTCCATTTTAGACACACAAAAATGAGGGAAATCAGAGCGGGGACCAAAACATACCTTCCTGGGGCTGGAACATGCCCTGTGCTGCCTGCATGGCTTCTGGGTGGGGTCCTGTGGCTAGCCCACCCTGGCCACATGTCAGCTCCCTCCCTCTTGGCTGATTCCTGCATTTCCTCAAAAAGCAATGGTTTTTCCCACCTAGCACTGAGGAAAGGTGTACTGTCCCCTGGAAAGCTAGGTCAATAAAACAATTCTAGTGCATCTGCTATTAGAGATTGCAATATTGCTCACCATATCATCATTTTAACAATGAGGCAAATATTCCTTTTAATTTTATTTTAACATACAATGAAATTGACTTTTTAGTGTACTTCTATGTGAATTTTGGTATGTATGCGGAGTTATGTAACTTCCACCAAAATCACCAGCTCCATCACCCGAAAAGACTCCCACCTGCCACCCCTTTGCAGTCTCACTCTGGATATAAGTTCTTTGTCAGTCTGATGTGTTGTATCTCCCCCAAGTCTGTAGTTTGCCTCCACTGTCTTAATGCTGCTTTTGGTTGAATAGAAATTTATCTATATCTTGCCCTGGCCAGTTTGGCTCAGCGGTTAGAGCGTCAGCCTGCGGTCCGGAGAGACCCGGGTTCGGTTCCCGCTAAGGGCACGTACTTCGGTTGCAGTTTGTCCCCGGCCCTGGTTGGTCGTGCGGGTGGCAGCCACTCGATGTGTCCCTTCACGTCGATGTTTCTCTCTCTCTCTCCCTTCCTCTCTCTCCCTCCCACTCTATCTGTACAAAAAATGGAAAAATATCCTCGGGTGAGGATTAGAAATTTATCTATAGCTATCTTCATTTTATTTTTTAAAAATATGTTTTTATTGATTTTTTTTAGTGAAAGAGGAAGGAAGAGATAGAAACATCAATGTGAGAGAGAAACTTTGATCGGCTGCCTCCTGCATGCCCCCTACTGGGGATCCAGCCTGCAACCCGGGCATATACTCTGACTAGGAATTGAACCAGGACCTCTCAGTCCATGAGATGAAGCTCAATCCACTGAGCCACACTGGCTAGGCTATATCTTTATTGTTTAAAGTATTATAGATGTCCCCTCCCCCCTTTTTCCTCCCATAGAAGTTTATATATTTCTATTGATTTTAGAATGGAAGTGAGGAAGAGGGAAGGAGAGAGAGCAAAACATTGATTTGTTCCACTTATTTATGCATTCATTGGTTGATTCTTGTATGTGCCGTTACTGGGGATCGAACCTGCAACCTTGACATATTGGAACAATGCTCTAACCAACTGAGCTATCTGGTCAGGACCAGAAGTTTATAATTTTAATGCAGTCAAATTTAGTGATATTTTGTCTTCTTTAAAAATGTTTGGCTCAGCAGTTAGAGCGTTGGCCTGCGGTCCATTCCCGCTAGGGACACGAGCCTCCGTTGCAGTTTGTCCCCGACCCTGGATGGGTCGTGCGGGTGGCAACCACTCAATGTGTCCCATTCACATCGATGTTCCTCTCCCCTCCCCCTCCCCACTGTATCTGAACAAAAAAATGGAAAAAAATGTTCGTGAGGATTAAAAAAAAAATGTTGTTCTGGCCCTGGCCGGTTTGGCTCAGCAGTTAGAGCGTTGGTCCATGGTCCAACGAGACCCGGGTTCAGTTCCCACTTAGGGCACATATCTCGTTTGCAGTTTGTCCCTGGCCTCAGCAGGGGTTGTGTGGGTGGCAGCCAGTCGGTGTGTCTCTCTCACATTGATGTTTCTCTCTCTCTTCCTCCCTCTCTCCCTCTTGCTTTATCTGAAGATGAATGCAAAAATGTCCTCGGGTGAGGATAAAAAAATAAAAATAAATAAAAATGTTGTTCTGTTCTATTCACAATAACTAAAAGGTGAAAACAATCCAAATGCCCATCAATGGATGACTGGGTACATAAATTATGGTTATTTGTGGAATTACAATGAAATATTAATATTCAGCCATAAAATGAAGCAGTGACACACCCTGCAAATGAATGAACCTTGTAAACATTATACGAAGTGAATGAAACCAGATACAATGACCACGTTTTCTATGATGCCGTTTATACGAAATGTTGGGAGTAGGCAAATTCATACAGACAGAAAGTGGATCAGTGGGTGCCAGGTCTTGGGGGGATGGGCAGTAATTGTGTAATGGGTGCTAGGTTTCCTTTTGGGACAATAAACACATTTTAAAATTAGATAGTGATGATGGTTGTACACCATTGTGAATACACAAAATGTTGCTGAATTATTTTCTTTAAAATGGTTAATTTTGTGTTATACAAATTTTACTTCACTTTCTAAAAAAGTGAAATAAACGTTGTGCCGAATGCTGAGGTGTAGAGAACCATCTATATCACCATTCTAAGAACTTTACTGTTTGGCATTTTGAGTTGGGTGACAGTCCACCTTGGACTGATTTTGTGTGGTTGGGAGGTAAGATCTGTTCTCTGGTTTTAGCTGACATTTATCAAGTGCCTTCTAAGTCCTGGGTACGGTATCAAACACTCTTTATTTTGGGTATTTGACCCTCACAGCTCTCTGTGAGAGAAGTTTTATATTATTATCATTACATGTTTTAAGATAAGAAAACAGAGTCTTGGGGAAATTACGAAACACTTAAAAGTTTCAGCGGAGGAGGGAACCAGTCCTGATGGGAGAGGAGACCTCAGTTTGGCTTTGGGAGTTGGGCAAGTCTATTCTGTTTCTGGGCCTTGGTTTCCTGGGACACAAGGAGTCCAAGTCTATGCTCCAGGACACTGAGGACTACTGGACTCTGGGCAGAATTCAAAGCTCTAGGCTTGTTCTGAACTTGTGTAGCTGGAGCTGAGCTCAGAGGGGCCCTGGTCACTCAGTGGAGATAGGGGTTTGCAGACCCTCCCCAGAGGGCGACCCCTGGGTGAGTCTGGGCAGGCTAATTAACTTTGTGAGCCCCAGTTTCACTGTTTTAACTTCTCAGGCAGGGAGTTAGAACAGTCTCCACCTCACTGTTAGGAGGGATAATGGCACCATGAATTCAAGATTCTTGTAGTTGCTATTGTTGGTGAGTGATCCCTCCTGGGCAGGAACATTGCACCAGAGAAGGTGGAGGTGTGGAAACGGGTTGAAGAGAGGGTCTTTGAGCCCCGCCCGGCCCTCTGACCATGGTGGCTCTATCAGGCTTGGACTGAGTGGCAGGACTGATAAGGCCTGGCCTTGTCTAGGGGACCTAGGCTGGGAGGAAGGGTCAGGAGTTTCGGATTCCAAGAATCCATATACCTTCAAAAAAGTAGGTCACAAAAGAGTTATTTAAATTTAAAATGAGGAGTTGTGGGGTGTTTGCAAGGAAGAGTTTGAGGATGCACCCTGTAGTGAGATGAGGTTGGCCCTGGGCACATCATTGTCCAGGAGAGTGAGGGCCTCAAGCTAAGACTACAGTGAGAGGCCATCTGCTCTCAGTCTTGTTACTGGTGGGAAACCTGAGGCCCAAAGCATGGCCAACCTGCCTTCCAGTCCCTCTGGCGGCCAGCATCAGCCTGGAATGGCCAAGGAGTGACAAGGAGCTCTGATTTCTGTAATAGCCCAATGCAGTTGACACATGTAGACACTGAGGTGCTGCTGTTGAGGGTGGTGAGGGAATCAGACCTCTGCTTGCTCAACTCCAGCCCTGGACATTGCTGCCCCTGAGTCCCGTGAGGGCAGCTTGGGAAGGAATGCATCCATGTGCCGGGATCCTGGTGACCTCCTTTCATCTTTCATGGATCCCAATGTACATTGCGGTGAAAAGACAGTAACCATTTAGCCAGGAAAATAATCAGTGAATGCTGTTGTGAACACTGCTAGCAGGAAGCAGGCCCTGGGGGGTAATTGGGAATGGTAGATTCCTCCAAGTCTGGGCCTTCTCCCTGCTCAGAGACAGCCTCCTCGAGTCCCTGGACACCAGACCTGCTCCTCCAGGTTCAAGGTGCCATGGACTGTTTGACGTGGTAGCAGCATGGTCCAGGGAAGCTGGAGGAAGGAGGCCGGAGCCAGAGGCCCAGTCCCTATGTCTGGGCACCCATAGATTCTTGGTACCTTTGTGGGGACACCCCCCACTACTAAAGGTGGCCATCTCTCCAGACAGTGGGCTCTCTCTTCCCCATAGGTCCAGCTCCCCCGACCTCACCTTCTTCTTCTGTGCCTTTATTTCCATTCCAGGGACATATCTGGGAACTGTGGAGAACTCAGAAAACTTTATTTATTTTTTTATCCTCACCCGAGGACATTTTTTCATTTTTTTGTTCAGATAGAGTGGGAGGGAGAGAGAAGGAGATAGAGAGAGAGAGAAACATCGACGTGAAAGGGACACATTGAGTGGCTGCCACCTGCACAACCCAACCAGGGCTGGGGACAAACTGCAACCGAGGTACGTGCCCTTAGCGGGAACCAAACCAGGGTCTCTCTGGACCGCAGGCCCATGCTCTAACCGCTGAGCCAAACCGGCCAAGGCAGAACACTTTTGATTATACATAATATCAAAACATACAAGACTGGGGAAAAGGCTTGCAGAATCTGTAACAAAGGGTAATTATTGTGAAGAGAACATGTCTAAACCATCAAAGAAGAACAAACAAGAAGGCAAACAAGAAGGCAATTCTGAGACACTGGCAAATAATCAAGCGATACACCTCAATCAAAAACAGGCAATATCGCCCTGGCTGGTTTGGATCAGTGGTTAGAGTGTCGGCCTGTGGTCCCGAGAGACCCGGGTTCGGTTCCA